ACTTTTCTGGGGTGTTTAAACTTCTTGCTATGTGCATTTATCCCTTTTGTAGTAAAAACTAGTGTACAGAAGCTGTCGATGCGTTGCCTGTGCGCCTTTCCGTCGGACTGTTATCTTTCATCATGCTCCTGACTTCTTCCAACAGCCAGGAGGATCTGCCTCTCTGTGCCTGGGTGCTTCGCCCCGAAGGCTGCTCTGCTGGGTCAGGCCAGAAGTGCCAGGGAATGAACAGCCCCCGGGCAGCCCTCAACCAACAGCTAATTAAAGTGGGTGTCTAACCACCATCCCAGGTCCCTAACTCCCTGGTCGGAATAGCTCTAGGGAGTGTGTTCTCCGCTCTCTGCCAATCGTTGCCCTGTTTCCCGATCAGTCACTGGCTTGACAACACACGCTCCTGGCTGCCTGCCCTTCTCGCCGGTGTCTCTGCCTCTCCTGAATAAACTACATACTCCCAAACCCTTGTCCCAGGGTTTGTATTTGGGAGAATACAAACCAAGTCAACTAGTTTAGATGACAAATAAATAAATAAAGGAGAAATGACTTGGTCTAGGAAGTCAGATGGACCTGGATTTGATCCCAGCCTCCTCGGTTTCTGACTGTGTGGTGCTGGAGGAAGCTAACTGAACTCTCAGGCCTCAGTTTCCACATCTGTAAAATGAGCATAATGGAAGTACCTATTTCATGGGTCGGCTGTAAGTATTAAACAGGCAATTAATGCATGGGAAGCATTTAGCTGAATGCCTGGCACATGGTATAAAGGCTGTGGGCAGCCTCAAGTTTAGGCAGGAGGCAGAGAAGCTGAAGCTGGTCTTGCTGTGGCCGGGGCACCCAGCTAATACTTCTATGGCCACTCCAGTGGCTCTGTGCCCCCTGCTTCCTCCTGTCTCATTTCTCTGGTGGCCATTAAATGCCTCTGGAGAAAGGAGGCACTGACTGGAGTGCTGATCATGGGGCGCCTGAACTGTCCACCAGAAGTCCTGGCCTGCCTTGGCCCGGCCTTGCTTTGGGATGCGAGCCTTGGCCGTGGATGGCCAGTCTGTGTGTGGGGAGGTGACAGCTCCCGCCCTGGCTCTGGGCGGACCACCAGCACAATGACAATGCACTGAGTCCCCCACAGTCTTTCTCAAGCTACCTTGAGATATTCTGGAGATGGAGGGGTGCCGGAAGCTGCTGTGGTCAGGGAGGGACCAGGCTTAGTTTGTGGCCACGTTAAGACAAAGTTGGTCTGTGTTTGGGAGAATACTCCACCCCGGACAAAACCTGTCCTATGACTCACTGAAACAGAGTTAATTAAGCTCTGCTCTAGCCCACGGCTGACATATCAAAAAGTACAATCATAATCCAAGGGTGGAAGAGGAAGCAAGCACAGGTGAGCCCTTGAGTCCAAGGGGTGGGAGGAGGAACAAAGAAGACCCACAGAACAGCAGTTCTCAACCCTAGCGGGGCTTTAGAATCAGAATCTGACTTAAAATGCAGATTCCTGGGCCCTGCCCCATACGTGATGACTCTGCTGGGATGGGGCCCAGAAATCTGCATTCTTGAAGAAGTTGCCCCAGTTGGCGCAGCCACTATCGAAAACTGTATGGAGTGGGCTTTCCTGGTGGCACAGTGGTTGAGGGTCCGCCTGCCGATGCAGGGGACACGGGTTCGTGTCCCGGCCTGGGAGGATCCCGCGTGCCGCGGAGCGGCTGGGCCTGTGCGTCTGGAGCCTGTGCTCCGCAACGGGAGAGGCCACGGCAGTGAGAGGCCCGCGTACCGCAAAACAAACAAACAAACAAACAAATAAAAACTGTATGCAGCTTTCTCAAAAACGTAGAAACAAAACTGCCATACGATCCAGGAATTCCACTTCTGGGTATTTATCAGAAGGAAATGAATACACTTAGTTGAAAAGATATCTGCACCCTGATGTTCATTGCAGCATTATTTAAAACAGCCAAGACACGGAAGCAGCCTAAGTGTCCACTGGAGGATGAATGGATAAAGAAGAAAATACACACACACACACACATATACACACAGTGGAATGTTACTCAGCCATAAAAAAGAATGACACCTTGCCATTTGCGACAACATGGATGGACCTTGAGGGCATTGTGCTGAGCGAAATAAGATAGACAGAGAAAGACAAATGCCATCTGATCTCCTTTATATGTGGAATCTAAAACACAATAAAACCCCAGACTCATAGATACAGAGAACAGATTGGTGGTTGCCAGAGGCGGGGGCTAGGGGTTGGGCAAAATGGGTGAAGGGGGTCAAAGTTACAAATTTCCAGTTATAAGATGAACAAGCCCTGGAGGTATAACATACAGCATCGCGACTGTAGTTAACAATACTGTATTGTGTATTTGAAAGTCGCTAAGACAGTAGATCTTAAACGTTCTGCTCACAAGAAAACAAAATTTGTAACTCTATGTGGTGATGGATGTTAACTTGTGGCAATAATTTCACAGTGTATACATATATCAACTTATTGTGTCGTACACCTAAAATGAATAGGTTATACGTCAATTATATCGCAATTTTAAAAAAAAGTAGTCCAGGTTATTGTCACAGCCAGCCAGGTTGACAGACTTTATCTCCCACTCTGGCAGACAAGGGACCGGGGAGGAGAAGGGACCTTTGGCTTCATCTGGCACAGGAGGACCAGTTGAGAAGTGCTGAGCTGGGTTAAGTGACTCAGGACCCCTGCTTGGGGGCAGGGGCAGCTGATGAACAGAGTCTGGTCTCAGCCACCTCTCCTTCCAGGTGGCAGCTGGAGCGGCAAAATAATGTTGGGGTCATCATAAAGTCTTTTTTTTTAATTGAGGTATAGTTTATGTACAATATTATATAAGTTTCAAGTGTACAACATGGTGATTCACTTTTTAAAGGTTATATTCCATTTATAGTTATCTTAAAATGTTGGTTAGGGGCTTCCCTGGTGGCGCAGTGGTTGAGAGTCCGCCTGCCGATGCAGGGGACACGGGTTCGTGCCCCGGTCCGGGAAGATCCCACATGCCGCGGAGCGGCTGTGCCCGTGAGCCATGGCCGCTGAGCCTGCGCGTCCGGAGCCTGTGCTCCGCAACGAGAGAGGCCACAACAGTGAGAGGCCCGCGTACCGCAAAGAAGATAAAATAAAAAATAATTAATAAAAAAAATTTTAAATAAAAAAAATGAAAGAAGAGAGCAACCAAACCAAAAGACAAATCCACCCATGATAACAAGCGCTAAAAACTATACTAAAAAAAAAAAAAAGGACAGACAGAACCCTAGGACAATGGTAAAAGCAAAGCTATACAGACAAAATCACACACAGAAGCATACACACTCACAAAAAGAGGAAAAGGGGAAAACATATACATATCGTTGCTCCCAAAGTCCATCTCCTCAATTTGGGATGATTCGTTATCTATTCATGTATTCTACAGATGCAGGGTACATCAAGTTGATTGTGGAGCTTTAATCCGCTGCTCCTGAGGCTGCTGGGAGAGATTTCCCTTTCTCTTCTTTGTTCTCACAGCTCCCGGGGTTCAGCTTTGGATTTGGCCCCGCCTCTGCGTGTAGTTCGCCGGAGGGCGTCTGTTCTTCGCTCAGACAGGACGGGGTTAAAGGAGCCGCTGATTCGGGGGCTCTGGCTCACTGAGGCCGGGGGGAGGGAGGGGCACGGAGTGCGGGGCGATCCTGCGGCGGCAGAGGCAGACGAGACGTTGCACCAACCTGAGGCGCGCCGTGCGTTCTCCCGGGGAAGTTGTCCCTGGGTCCCGGGACCCTGGCTGTGGCGGGCTGCACAGGCTCCCCGGAAGGGGGTGTGTGGAGAGTGACCTGTGCTCGCACACAGGCTTCTTGGTGGCGGCAGCAGCAGCCTTAGCGTCTCATGCCCGCCTCTGGGGTCCGCGCTTTTAGCCGCGGCTCGCGCCGTCTCTGGAGCTCCTTTAAGCAGCGCTCTTAATCCCCTCTCCTCGCGCACCAGGAAACAAAGAGGGAAGAAAAAGTCTCTTGCCTCTTTGGCAGGTCCAGACTTTTCCCCGGACTCCCTCCCGGCTAGCCGTGGTGCACTAACCCCCTGCAGGCTGTGTTCACGCCGCCAACCCCAGTCCTCTCCCGGCGCTCCGACCAAAGCCCGAGCCTCAGGTCGCAGCCCCGCCCGCCCCGGCGGGTGAGCAGACAAGCGTCTCGGGCTGGTGAGTGCCGGTCGGCCCTGATCCTTTGTGCGGGAATCTCCCCGCTTTGCCCTCCACACCCCTGTGGCTGCGCTCTCCTCCGCGGCTCCGAAGCTCCCCCCTCCGCCTCCCGCAGTCTCCGCCCGCGAAGGGGCTTCCTAGTGTGTGGAAACCTTTCCTCCTTCACAGCTCCCTCCCACTGGTGCAGGTCCCGTCCCTATCCTTTTGTGTCTGTTTATTCTTTTTTCTTTTGCCCTACCCAGGTACGTGGGGGGGTTTCTTGCCTTTTGGGAGGTCTGAGGTGTTCTGCCAGCGTTCAGTAGGTGTTCTGTAGGAGTTTTTCCACGTGTAGATGTATTTCTGATGTATTTGTGGGGAGGAAGGTGACCTCCACGTCTTACTCTTCTGCCATCTTGAAGCTCCTCCCCAGGAGCTTCATTCCTGAACATCCATTGTGTGGTCAGGCTGCTCTATGCTCCTGTCCTGAGACTGTCCAGACCTCAACAAGAGATAAACAATGTTTAGAAAACCAAGAAAGGGGACTTCCCTGGTGGTCCAGTGGTTAGGACTCCGTGCTTCGAATGCGGGGGCACAGGTTCGATCCCTCGTCAGGGAACTAGCATCCTACATGCCATGTGGCGAAAAACAGAAAAAACTCTGGGCAAGAGCCAGGAATGTATCTGGAATAACTAAGATCAATTCTCTGGAATTCTTATTTCCTCTGCTTTTGCTTTTCAAACAATCAAGCATTGCCTCAGACCATCGCACTGGCTGGGAGACTCTCAAGGGTGTGCTGACTCCTCCCCTTCCCGCCCCATGACACCTCCTCACTTTCCAATCTCCTTTTCAGGGGTGTCAGGTTGCTTCCCCTCTGTAGTACAAAAGAGCTGCTTTTGTGCTTTACGGTAAAATTCTCTGGAATTATCTTCAGGGACCACTCAGCCCCATAAAAGAGGGTACTGCTGAGACAGGAGGAATTAGGAAGAAGGCTGTGAAGGACCCAGCTTGTAGCACCATGAAGAACTTCCCCACGGCTTTCCCTCTTTTCCTGGTTTTTATCCTGAGTGTCCATCTTGGAGCTGCTGCACGTACGGCGCTGTCCAACTCCCTTCCCAGGCTGGCTAGGGATGGAAGCAAAGGGACATCTCCAAGCTCCTTTCTCTCCCTGTTTATTTAGGTGGCAGTGATGTGGCTAAGTTCTGCTGCTTTCGATACACCCACAAGATCCCTCCCTGGAGGTGGGTGAGTAACTATGAATTCACCAGGAATAGCTGCTCCCAGCAGGCTGTGATGTAAGTATTTCTCCTTTGGGCTTTTAGGGTCCCTTACCATTCATGCTGTTGGATGGATTCTGGGAAGGCCCCCACAGTGCCAGGATGAGCCTCAAGATGGGAACCCAGTGACTTGGGTTATCACCTTATCTCAGGCCTTAAGAAGCGTAACCCTGAGCTTGGTTTCCTAGCTTGCAGACCATGAGCTGGGCGCCTGCCAGGCACTGTGCTAAGTGCTGGGTATAAAAGAATAAACAGCCCTTACAGACCTTATATCTAGCATAAGAAAGAGGGCATTAAAAGACATTTGCACAAAATAATCAAGATTGTGATGAGTGCTTGAAAAAGACAGTGGGAGAGAGAGCAGGAGGGAGCATATTGTAGCGCAGGCAAAACTTTCTCTCTACCCTCTTAGGGGCTCCAGCTGGGCTTTAGAATTAAATCGACATAAGACATTAACAAGAGGAAAACATATAGCTTTTTACACGCACACAGGAGCCCCACAGAAAGCTGAAGACCCAAAGAAGTGGCAAAAGCTACATGCTTTTTATATAAAACCTGCGTGCTTTTGAACAAGGAAGGAACTGTGGAGAAGTAATTAAAATATATGGGCGTGGGGAAAGCTAACGACTGATAAGAGTTATCTTAACAAGGTCTGTTTTTACAGAGTTCACTTGGCCTTGACTCTATCTCTGGTGTTAAGAATATTTCTTTCCTCCTGGTAGGAGGAGGACATTTTTCACATGGGAGTTTCATCTCCTGCTTTCAGGGAAAAAGGGGAGGTCAGAACGCTCTTCTTGCCCCCTGCTGGGGTTTTTTTGTTTTGTTCTGTTTCATTGGGGGTTTTTTTAGTGTCTTTCGTTCAGAATAATCCTCACGTCAAAGTGGCATATTTGGGGGCGGCATATTCGGCCACCCTTCATCATAGTCACAGGAGGACCTAACTTAGTGTTGGGAGGGTCTCCTGGAGGGAGTGACATTTACACTGAGACCCCCCCCAAGGCTAAGCGGGAGTAGCCCAGGTGAAGGGGGCAGGCAGGAGCATGGTGGAGGGGAGAAGGATGAACATGTTACTGACTAGGCAGACAGGTAGACAGGAGGCATGTCACGCCAAGCTCATCGGTAGCAGGAGAGATGACACACACCTGGAAGGCTCCCTGGCAGGACTAAATGAGGTTAATATATGCAAAGAATTTAGCGCTGAGCCTGCCCACAGTAAACATTCAGCAAATGGAAGCGATCTTTAAGTGCAAATACACAATCAGGGGACCTTGGGTTCCTGAGCATGAGAGAACGGTGCGGAAAGGGAGAAAACGGGCTCCAGGGACAAAGCTGAATGTTATCATTTTGAGACAGTTATGGATGGGAAAGAAGCACTCAAGTGCCTCGATATGGAGGGGGATGCTCCAGGGCTCAGGATGTCCTGGGTCTTCTCCTTTGTGTCTTGATTGGCTTTCTGGAGTTTTAAAGACACCAACACTTAACCAACAGCTGGCAAAGAGCCCTGAGCTGAGCTCAAAGCAGTGGCTCTTTCATTTTATAAGCTGTGTGACCTTGGGCAAGTCAAGTTTCCTCATTTGTAGAAGGAAGATGAGGGGCCTATATCAGTCAACTGTTGCTGCGTAACCAACCACCCAAAGCTTAGTGGCTTAATCCAACAATGGTCATCTTCTCATCTCTTGCGGTTTCCATGGGTCTGGAATTCCAGAAAGGCTTGGCTGCAAGGTTCTGGAAAGGCGTCTCTTGTGTGGTTGCAGACAGATGGTGCTGGAGCTGGAACAGCTCAGGGGGCTGGAGGCATCTCCCTCCAGGGCCCCTCTGTGTGGTCTCTCTGTTGGGCTAGTTTGGGCTTCCTCATACTATGGTGAGCTGGGGTGGTAGGACTCCTTATGAGGAAGTCCACAGCTCCTGTGTAAGTGCTCAGTGAACCAGGCAGAAGTTCTACAACCTTCTATGACTTAGCTACCAAATCACATAGCATCACTTTTGCCATTCTCTATTAGTCAACCAGTCCTTAAGACTGGCCTAAATTCAAGGGGAGGGGACATAGACTCCCATCTCTCAATGGGAGCAATGTCACATGGATGTTCAAACACCCACAGAGCCCTTCCTCTCTCTTATTTCCCCATCCTTTTGGCTCTTCTCCCCTGCTCCAGGTTAGAGCACCCCCTGACCTAGGCTCTTGTCACTTCCGAGTACTCTCAGGGAGTAAAGGCTGGAAGCCTTTCAGGGACATCAACCACAACCCCCAGTCGTAATGAGCTCACAGTGTGGTAAGGAAGGCAGGAATCGTATCCACGTAAGCAGCCGTGGCTAACAACCCATGATAATGTGATTAAGAATTAAGTGGCACAATACACAAGAGGTTCCTTTGCGGGGCAATACAAATGTTATAAAATTGATCATGGTGACGGTTGCATCATCTATTGATATACTAAAACCAATGAATTATGATTATACACTTTAAGTGGGCAAATTAGTGACTTATATCCCAACAAAACTGTTACATTAAAACGAAAGAGTTAAGAGGCACGGTGCAGATTACCTGCTTCAGACCAGAGCTGTTGTTACATCTTTCCTGGTGAAGGTGGGCCAGGAAGTGTGGTTTCCAGTGGAAAACAGGATAGCAGAGAAGAGGGAGGTCAAGGGCCAGAAGGGGGAGCAGGGACAGTGTGACAGGGGTACAGCAAAGCGAGCAAGAAGATTGGGGCGGGGGGCTGCCCCTCCCTTTCCATCCCTTTCCGGGAGACAAAAGTTTTTAGCATTGACTGTCAGCATCTCTTTTCCATAGATTCACCACCAAAAGAGGCCAGAAACTCTGTGCAACACCGAGGGAAGCATGGGTGCGAAAATACGTGTCTTTACTAAGAGCCCGGCAACAACCGTGACCGCCGAATTCTCAGTCCAAAACGCCTGGATCCTGCTCTGTTCTTGGCTTTGCCCCCCTTGGTGGAGCCTGAAGAATTTCTCCAACAGAAGGCTGCATGGGTCTGGTGGGGAGGACAGGATATTTCTCACCAGCCTTTTCTTTTTTTTTAATAAAGATTTCATTTGCTCAATAAACATTCTAATTCAATAAAAACTGAGTTTTCTTCAAAGAAAATAAAGCAGTCGATATTTGCAGCTGACGGCCTGGCAAGTCTCCAATCCCTGAACTGACCCTGGTATTGAATTCTGCCTCATGTTTTTGTTTGGGCAAAAAAAGCAGGGACAATGTTAATATATTTTGGCAAAATGCCCATGAAATGTCTTAACATTATTTAGAGAGACAAGTTTATGTTGTATGGAAAATTAAACTCTGTGCAACACCTCATAGCCTCACAGCCTGTTGGTGCGGGGTATATGAAATGCAACCATATTGGGCAGTGTTTTCTCATAAGGCATTAATTAATAAGCATGAATATTGTCTACCTACCAATCCTAAGATGCCTATGTCTATATAGCCTAAAGAACTTAAAAAAAAAAAATTATAGCTTCACCAGAAGTTGCAAAACAATACAAGGAAGTCAGGGGTACCTTTTACCCAGTTTTCCCCAATAGTCACATCTTACATAATCACAGTACAATACCACACCTAGGAAATCGACATTGGTATAAAGTGTCTGTATCGTTCTGTGACTTTATCGCGCGTAGATTAGTGTAGCCATCATTACAACCAAGATACAGATCTTTTCCGTCAGCACAAAGATCTCACCAGTGTTCTCTCTCTTCGGTCACATCTCCCCTCCCCCACCATCCTTAACCCTTAGCAACCACTAATCTATTCTTCTCCATGATTTTGTCATTTCGAGAAGGTTATATAAACAATCATATCATATCATACGTGACCTTTTGAGATTGTTTTTTTTTTTAACTTCACACAATGCTCTTGAGATACATCCAAGTTGTTGTGGGTTTCAATAGTTTATTCTTTTTTACTGTTAACTAGTATTCCATGGAGTGCCACACTGCAGTTTATTGAACCACTACCCTCCTGTAGGTTTTCATTTTGGGGCTATTACAAATAAAGCTAAGAAGAACAGTCACGCACACAGATGTTTTCGAGTGGACATAGGTTTTCATTTCTCTGAGATAAACGCCCAGGCATGCAATTAATTGCTGGGGGTCATAAATTAAATGTATGTTTCGGTTTTGTTTTAAAGAAACTGCCAAGCTATTTTCCAGGGTCACTGTGTCATTTGACCTTTCCACGAGTAATGTATGTTTCCACCAGCTTTCTGTGCATCTGGGCTAGCATTTGCTATTATCACTTGTTTTTCATTTTAGCTGTTCTAATAGGTGTGTAGTGATATTGTAACCGAATGTGGGATCCGGCTGCTCATCGCTCGAAAGCCAATAAAGAGGCCAAGTTGGTGGAAAGGAAAGTTTGCTTTATTTTGGATGCTGGCAACGGGGGTGGGGGAGGGCGGATGCCTGTCCAAAGGCCGACTCCCCCCACTGACAATCAGGGCGCAAGAGCTTTTATAGGCGGAGGGAGGGGGCTACGTGCAGAAACAGCACAGTCAGCTCTGATGGTCATCTTGAAATTAATCATGAAGGGGTCTGCCCAGCACCATCTTGATTGTTTTAAGTACAGTTAGTCTTCAGTTCCAGGGTTGGTTTGTTCCCATTTCCTTGAGGCCAGTTCTCGGAACTGTTTGTGGCAGCTTACCATCATGGCTACAGTCTGGTCATCACATAGTTAACTTCTTCCACCTGGTGTGGGTTTCAGTATCTATAAGACAGTTTACAGGATATGGCTCAGAATATTATCTGTAGCCTGTGGGGAGGAACTAAAGGTCCTTGACTATACTTAGTGACTAAACTATTATTATTTGGTCTCCTTTGACTGTTTTCCTTTGTTTCTGCATTTTCTCATTTCTCTGATTAAACTTATTCTTTGGCTAAAGTTTTTCCACAGACAAAAGGCAGGCTGAGGACATGGGGAGAGAAGGACCATGGGACCCTGCTCCATTTCAAACTCTCATTGTGGTCTTAATTTTCACTTCCTGAATGGCTATCACTATGCAATGTCTTTTCATGTGCTTATTTGCCATCTATATATCCTCTTTGGTGAAAAGTTTCTTGTGTTTTTTCTCTACTTTCTAATTAAAGTGCTTGTTTTCACTGTTGAGGTTTTTTAATTTAATTTTATTTATTTATTTTTTATACAGCAGGTTCTTGTTAGTTATCTATTTTACACATATTAGTGTATATATGTCAATCCCAATCTCCCAATTCATCCCACCACCATCACCCCCATCCCCCTGCCGCTTTCCCCCCTTGGTGTCCATACATTTGTTCTCTACATCTGTGTCTCTATTTCTGCCCTGCAGACCGGTTCATCTGTACCATTTTTCTAGGTTCCACATATATGCATTAATATATGATATTTGTTTTTCTCTTTCTGACTTCCTTCACTCTGTATGACACTCTCTAAATCCATCCACGTCTCTACAAATGACCCAATTTCATTCCTTTTTATGGCTGAGTAATATTCCATTTTATATATGTACCACATCTTCTTTATCCATTCATCTGTCAATGGGCATTTAGGTTGTTTCCATGACCTGGCTATTGTAAATAGCACTGTTGAGTTTTGATATGAGTCCTTTATCAGATAGATTCCAGATATGAGTCCTTTGTCAGATACGTGGTTTTCTGTCTTTTCTTCTTCTTAACAGCGTCTTTCACAGAGTTAAAGATTTAATTTTTTTTTTTTTGGCCACACGGCGCAGCATGCAGGATCCCCGACCAGGGATCAAACTCGTGCCCCCTGCAGTGGAATTGGGGAGTCTTAACCGCTGTACTGCCAGGTAAGCCTCAAAGATTTAATTTTGATGAAGTCTAATTTATTGATTTTCTCCTTTTATGGAGAATGATTTTGGTGTCCTCCCGAAGAACTCATCACCAAGCCCTAGGTCCCAAACATTTTTTTTCTATGTTTTCTCCTTAAAGTTTTATAGTTTTACATTTACATTTGAACCTAGGGTGGATTGGGTGTTAGTTTTTATATAGGTGTGAGGTTTAGGTCAAGGTTGACTGGTTGGTTGGTTGGTTGATTGATTTACGTACCTACCTACCTACCAACTCAATTGCTCCAGCACCGTTTAATGAAAAGACTCTTCTTCCCCCATTGAATTGCTTTTGCCCTTCAGTTCTTGTGTGGAGCTATATCTGGGCTCTATGTTCTGTCTCATCTGTTTCATAAATACAATCAATTTAAAAAAATTTTTTTGAGATTAATTTACACACCATAAAATTCACCATTTAGAAGTGTACAATTCAGTGATTTTTAGTATAGTCACAAAGTACTGCAACCATCATCACTACTAATTCCAGAATACTTTCATCACTTCCCTAAAGAAACCCCATACCTGTTAGTATTCACTCCCTAACAGCCCTGGCAACCTCTTCCCCCACCCCCACCCCCAGCCCTGGCAGCCACTAATCTACTTCTGTCTCTATAGATTTTCCTATTCTGAACATTTCATATAAATGGGATCATACAATGTGTGGCCTTTTGCATCTGGCTTCTCTCACTTGGCATAATCTTTTCAAGTTTCATTCCTGTTGTAGCATATATCAGTATTTTGTTCCTTTTTATGGCTGAATAATATTCCATTGCATGGATATACCACATTTTGTTTATCCATTCATTAGTTGAAGGACATTTGGTCTGTTTCCACTTTTTTGGCTATTATGAATGATGGTGTACAAATTTTTATGAACACATATTTTCATTTCTCTTGGGTATACGTGTACGGATGAAACTGTTGGGTATATGGTAACTCTATGTTTAACTTTCTGAGAAACTGTAGAACTGCTTTCCACAGCAGCTGCATCAATTTACATTCCCACCATCAATGTATGAGGATTCTAATTTCTCCATATCCTTGCCAACCCTTGTCTGTCCTTTTGATGTTAGCCATCCTAGTAAATGGAAATTGGTATCTCATTGTGGTTTTGATTTGTATTTCCCTTATGACTAATGATGTTGAGCATCTTTTCATGTGCTTATTGGCCCTTTGTACATCTTTGGAGAAATGTCTATTCAAATCCTTTGACTCTGTCTTTTCATTGTTGAGTTGTAAGAGGTATTTATATATTCTAAATACTGGAACCTTATTAGATATTAGAACTTCTAAGCAGACAGTTGTGTCAGCTGCAGACAGGGGCAGTTTTATTTCCTTCTTTTTGATCTGTATGCCTTTTATTTCCTTTTCTTGACTTCTTGCATTAGCTAGAACTTCAAGTACTTTGTTGAGTAAGAGTGGTGAGAGTAGACATCCTTGCTTTGTTCCCAATCTCAGGGAGAAAGCAATCTTTCACCGTTAAGGATGATGTTAGTTCTAGTTGTTTAGGTTTTTTTTTTTTTTTTGCTCATAATTGAGAAAGCTCCCCACTATGCCTATTTTTGAGAGTTTTTATCATGAATGAGTGTTCAGTTTTGTCAAATGCTTTTTTGGATTAACACGATTATGTGATTTTTCTCTTTTAGTCTGTTAATATGATGGATTACGTTGATTGATTTTCAAATATTGAGCCAGTCTTGCATCCCTGGAAGAAACCTCACTTGTTATGGTGTATATATTGCTGAATTCTATTTGAAAGATTTTGTTAAGGATTTCTGTGTCTATAGTCACGAGAGATATTGATCTGTAGTCCCCTCTCTCTCTCTCTCGGTACTGTCTGTTTGGTTTTGGTATTAGCGTAGTTCTAGATAAAATTAATTGGGAAGTGCTTCTTCCATTTCTACTTTCTATGAGAGATTGTGTAGAATTGACATTTATTCCTCTTTAAATGCTTGGCAGAATTCTCCAATGAAAACATCTGGGCCTGGAGATTTCTTTTTTAGGAGTTTTAAATTACAAACTCAATTTCCTTAATAGTTGCAGGGCTATTCAAATTATCTATTTCATATTGTTGTTTAGATGTGATAGTTTGTATTTTTTGAGGAACTGGTTCATTTCATCTTTGTCAAATTCGTACGTGTGGATGTTCTACACGTAGATGTTCCAAGTGTCCTTTTATTAACCTTTTGAAGTCTGCAGGGTCTATAGTGGTTTCCTCCATGTCATCCCTGAATTTTGTAATTTGCATTTTCTCTCTTTTTTTCTTTGTCATTCTTGCTAGAGGTTTGTCAACTGCATTGACCTTTTCAAAGAATCAGCTTTTGGTTTCTTTTATTTTCTCTATTGTTTTTCTGTTTTCAATCTTCATTGATTTCTACTTCTTATAATTTCTTCCCTTTTGTTTGCTTTGGGTTTATTCCTTTATTTTTCTAATATCTTAAGGTAGTAGCTT